TGAAGTTAACTTATTTTTTATAATTTTTACTATTTATTTATAAGTAATATATATTATTTTACCAAAATAAATAATTGGAATTATCAATTAAATTGACAGACTTATTTATCTATTTTAGTAAAATAACATACATTACTTATAAACAAATAGTAAAAATTATAAAAAATAGACTAACTTCATAATTAAGATTATTTTTTGTTTTATTGTAAATTAGTTTTTAAATTTTATATAAAGAACTTTCAAATACTAAAAAAATTGCAAATAATATCTAAAAATCAAGTTAACAAATTTTTTATTATTAAATTAACTCAAAAAACAAAATTTTTCTAAATTATATATAAAATTTAGATGTATCAATTATTTAACACTATATTAAAAATTTTATATATGTGATTTATACAACATATCATATAACTACTACTATATTTATAGTCTAGCTAAAAAGCTATCTATTTAAACTTTCTAATTACAATTCTTAGATTCTACTCTTAATTTAATCTGAACACAGCTTTATTACTTATAAATATGAATCTATATAATACTACTAAATTAACAGCTAACTTAAAACTCTTTTGGCTAATTCTCAAACAAAACTAATACTGCATTGCTATAATCTACACATGGATGTATGCTTATTTGATAATTTTATTCCAATTTGTATATATTATCTACTGCTATTGTGTTTATATCTCATATTACCTTTTAGAGTACTACTATAACACAATTTATATCTTAAATACAATCTTTCTAATTAGTTTTACATTACTTACTTCTTATTCTTTTTAGATTCCAGCACCTTATTTTATCTCTTGTATTTTTGGTATATTTGGTCTTTCAATTCAGATAGCCTAGAAAGATTGGTCTGCCCAAACCTGAGCTTCTCAGGCTCAAGTCTAAAAGTCTCTTAATTCTTGGTACATGCTTTGTAATATATACTCTTTTTCTCTAAAATCTTATTCTAAGATCTTTTACTAGTTACCCAGTTAACAAGTTAACTAATAAATACACAATTAATATAACTCTAGTAACTCCAGTGGCCTGGTTGGTAGATCCATTTGTCTGAAGATCTTTGTTGCCCAAATTCTCCAATTTCCAGTCTACTCAGTTTTGTCCTATATTACTATCAAAAGTTTGCTAATCTTTACTCAGGATTTACCAAACTGGTTTCAGATCTCTAATGAAGTATTTCTAATTAATTAACAGCATTATCAATATTCTCCAAGGGAGACTATTAAAGTTACACAAACTGCAGATCACTTACGCAAATCTCCAAGCTAATCAAAATTGTAAATTTTTACAAGTAAAAAATACAAAAAATTTAAATAAAGCAAGACAAAGCAAAAATCAAGTTAAATAATAACAATTCAAGTTAAAAAACAAAATGTCTTAAACTTTGATGTAGTAGATAGACATGTTTTTTTTATTAATTCATCTGTATATTGATTAATTAACTAATTTTTAACTATATATACCATAATAACATTAATAATTTTTAATCAAATTTACTCTATAATCTAATCTAAAATCCAAGTATTTATGTGATCAATATATCTACCACTTATTAGAAACATTTACAACCTTGGTACATAAGTATATACATGCATAAATTCGTATAAATTCTTAAACAATATAAAAAAAGTTTTATAGTTAGTTATATTTGTTAATTATTTACTAATTACTGTAAAAGATTTCTATATAGCACATATAACATTAATTAAATAAACCTATGTACTTGGACCTTTACCTTTGCTAAATCATTACTTCTTAGTTCTACTCTTTTTCTTGTATTTAACATGTAAAATTTAGTTATCTTGGTGGTTTTATACTTTCAACTATATATATATTATTTATATGTAATTTTACTAAAACATAGCAACGTAACGGTGTGGGATTCACAGGGATTTAAAAAATATGTTATAGTACAGTTCAATACTCAAAGTTTGCTTAAGAGACTTGACAATGATTCATAGCAGAATAAGTTACGCGAGATTCCTAAAAAAGTATTGTAATACAATATAAAAAATTTTTTATCAATTGTGTAACGATCATCCAAATTTGGATAAGTCTCCCTTGGATCAATATTGTGAATAATAATTTATTTATGATAGTTTAAAAATGTGACAATGTTGGCTTATTTTCCATTGTTACCTTCTATCTCAGAAGTATGTTGTAAGTGGGTATAAAATATCTGCTGATTTGGAATCTACTTTAGTTTGAAAAAAAAAAAAATTAAGACAGAATTCATGTAATTAAGCAATTACGAAAGATGCTCGTAAAATAAATAACCATTTTTTGATAGCTAAAGTTAAAGCAACTGAGGATTGAAGTTTTCATTACATCTGAAAGAATACCTTTTTTTTGGCTTGTTAATTCCCATGTCGCGATTGCTCATGCGGATTATGCATTAGTTTTAAAAATTGTATAAAATCAGCGCTAAACATTTTTGCTAAACGAACAAAATCAAGTTTCATAGTAAAACCTTGAGATATTGGCGCGTGTTACATGTCTATGTTTCTTGGAAATAATGTTTGACATACTTTAAATCAATGTTGTCATTCGGACAGCTCGAACAATTCTGACAGGAGCTGAACTGAATAACGCAAGATTTTATTATCATGATTCAATTTCAATTATTTATTAAAATTTTTCATAATTAACTTTATATATGTGTGCATTTTTAGGATGACTATCTGCCAAATAGCCTAAAAAAGCTCGAACATCCAAAATGTATGCACGTACGAAATTGCTTTAAACGACCGTGTTGGATTTAATGTTTGGCAAATATATTGCATATAGTGAACTCCAATAATCGGATATTTCAATTTTGCTTTGACTTACAAGTTACCTTAAAAGCTTCATATAGTAGTAATAGCTTTCTACCGTATTTACGTTACTAAAAATTTTTAAAGTTTTTTAATGCAAATGTTTTAATGTGAAGGAGGATTAGTAAAAAGTTATTCAAAATATGTGAACTTTCAAGATATATGTAATTATTATTTAGAAAATAAACTTCACCTTTAGGCTGTCGAAGTTGATTCTTCGGTTAACATCATCCCCCTGCAAGTCTCCCTGATAAACGAACAACCAATCAAAACGCTGGATAACTCTTGCCAATTACTAGATTTACGTCAGCCAATGAAATTGGCCCATTTTTATATGTTCGTTTCATTTTACCCCTCCCCCTTTCCCAAGAGTTCTAAAGGTGATGATAACCGAAGAATTAACTTCGAATGGCCTAAGGTACGAATATCGATTAGCTTAGTAAAATTATGACTTAGTATATGGTTATGACCATCGATTAAGAAGGTAATGTCTTTTTTTTTTTTTTTTTAATTCAACCAATAAAATTATTTCATATGCAAATGACTTAATGACCTAATGAACAGGTCATTATGACTTGATCAAATGACTGGGTCATTGGAATCATTCGGTAACCTAATTTTTTGTAACCTAATTTCTTTTTTATTTTTATTTTTTTTGACATATTAATTTTATAAGTTGCCAAAAATAATTTCGTTTACATAGTTTACGTCAGGAACAAAATAATTTAGATGCACATTGTTAGTGGTCACTGCTAGAGGATAGATGAGTCTAGATGGTCACCACTGAGATTCAGCAGGAACAAAACTAACAAAAACCACACAACAAAACCCGCAGGGCAGAGGCGGTTAAGATCTGGCAGAGTAAGGGTCTGGGTTTGTTTGTTATGGGTTGAAAATATGAATGAAGGACTTTGGGATCAAAGAATGTTATCAAATTCAAATTTTATTAATTTTATTCGAACTGATCTGCTCTTCTAATGGAGTGGACTACGACTCTATTTATACAAAAATTCAGTACTAGGAAAAAAAGAAAAAAAAAGAAGAAAAGAACTATGGATCTTTCCCCTTGTCTCATCGCGTTATCACCACTGATCTTAACGTGATTTTGATTATGCACTATTCCTTCTACGTGGATGTAAACATCCGACTTACATGGCCACATGATTAGAGATGAGTTTCATGCGTGCGAATGATTCCTTAATCGTGCGCATTAATGCGCATGTTTCAGAATCATGCGCATTTTATCTCATCCAAATTTTATATAGGAAAATTGAAGTATATATAATTTAGGCCAAGGAGCATATTTTCGGGCGGAATTAAGGAATATGAATGCAATTCCAAAAAGAAAAATGAATGAACATAAAAGAAGAACAAGATTGGAGTAAAAATTTGAGCACATATCCGATATTTTTCGAGGGAAAATATAAATCCCAAAATTTATATCATGCGATTTCATGCGCATTTTATATAAAGTGCGCATTAATGCGTATTAATGCGCATTTATGAGCATGTTATTATTAAATGCGCATTTTTCCCATCACTAGTCTCATATAGCGTGATATCACATAGAAGGATCCATGGCTAACATAATCGAGAGCATTGTTGAAATCACTGTTAAAAAGGCAAAAAGAATCCCTACAAGAAAAAATTAAAAGAAAGCGATAATGGTTAGCATTGGAATATATAGCAATAGCCAAAGTATAGAAAAACTTATTCGACATGACCAGATCGTACAGCTCAACGAAGAACGCTTAATCGCCATAATAACATATTACAGCATTATTAAAGTTTCATGTAAAAGTTATGCTAGAGATTTTTAAAGTTCATTTGAGATTTCTGCCCGTAACACATGTATCCTTGTTACTAAAAAATATTTATTTACAAGCATCACTTGCACAAATGAATAAATTTAAACCTGCCAAGGTACACGGATTTTTTTTTTTTTTTAGCTTATTCCTCTAAAGTTCACTTGAAACCGTTATTTGAAATAGGTCGCTATTTTAATTTGAATAAGATGCTTAAGTTTTATTACTTTTATTTATTTATATGAATATAAAAATTGGCAACCTTTGAAAGAGGTATAAGCGATATTTCAATCAGCATTCAAAATGTTACTGTAAAAGATTTACAAAAAACGACAACAGGTATCGCATTATTATACTCTTACGCACACTACCAATGGCGGCATACCTCATACAACTATTACAATCACAGAAACAGCGGTACCATTCACTCCTCCTCCTGTAACAATGGGAACATTGACACTAAATTTCCAACTTGTCATGTATTTGCCTGTAATTGGAATTTTCATTATAAATTAGTTCACTTAGTGTAGGCTTCTCAGAAACAACATCTCAAATTACGCTTACAGTAAGTAACGAGTGTCAAAATATAGCAACAACAACTATAACAAAAACTTGCAATTCTTCAACACCGTCCTGTGCATCAGCACAATCGTATGAAAATTCCAATAATTAGTTTTGGGCACTATAGGCGGTGTAATTGTTGGCATGCTTAGTGATATTGCTTTATCATTTGGAATTTATAAGCATAAATCAAGAGATGATGGTATTCCAACACCATTAGCGGCGCATCATAAATTTATTTCTTGAGAAATATTATGAAAGTCTTATATGATTTAAATTTTGTAAAAGGGTAAGCTTTTTAGCTGATAATAAATAATATTTTCATTTCTTTTATTAACATGATTTGCTGCCAATTAAGCTTATAATAAAATAACGAATCACTTGAATATACGATTCATAAGTTTACTTTTTAGAGTGTTTTCAAAAACCAAGTGCTATATATTCAAAGAATGATAAAGTGTTAAAATGCAATCTTTAAGATAAATCTTACAGCCAAACCTCTCTAAATGCAATGCGGCAAGACTATATGGGCAGAAAAGGGGGAAATCGACAAATTTTCAAAATTTTTTTTTTTACACAACTCAATTTAGAATAAGATTAGGATCATTTTTCACTTAAACCATGAAAGCGTTGTATTAATAAAATTTTGTAATATAACTTTTTAATGTTTGTATTTTATTATGATATACTGTATAATTTATATCATAAAAATTGATCTTTCAAAAATCTTTTGTTTTGTCGATTTCCCCCTTTTCTGTAGCACCTAGCCCATGCATCCACTAATTTGCGCGGGTAATACAAACATCTAAAAAGGAATGGCCAATCAGAGAACACAGCCCGACATAGAATCCGAACACGTGCGAAAGAAGAAAAAAAGAAAATAAGTGTTAAAATCGACTTTGGTGGACTAATAAAAAATATCGGGATGAAATTTTACGTATAAGAAACCAACTTATCACCAAAACTCACAACCCTAACGTCCTAATTCTAAACTTCTATTTTTACGCACTTAGTTTATTTGCAAAATTCGATTTCTTTTTTTTGGTTTGTTGTGTTACCCGCACAAATAAGTAAAAAATTAGCGAACATGCATTTAGGGAGGTAAAATCCATAGCCATAATATTAGTTGGGCCCAGAGAAAACATGCATTTAGGGAGGCTTTTCATAGTACGTGCATTTAGGTGGTTGCACTTAGGGGGTCTGACTGCATTTAAAATGTTTGGCTAACAAATTTTAAAAAATAAGAAACATGAAAACAATCCTGACATCTCTTTGGCGGTTTGAATTTGATAATTAAACTTCATTAACTAATACCAAATGACTCATAGCTTCATTATAGAAATCCTGAAATCTGTGAATTTGCAAATTTGTGAATAAAATAAATTCGAAAAAAAGAATACTTATTTACCATTATGTACAAATTATTTAATTAATATTAATTATTTCATCAGCATGTAAATACAGAGAACATTTAATGCTATTTGGAAATAAAACAGCAAAACTAGTTTACAATAAGAATATAAATATTTATTTACCATTATATATAAAAAATTTCATTCTCATTAATTTAGTGGGTGAGTATAAAGAACATTTAATCTAATTTAGTAGGCGAGTATAAAAAATATTTAATAGTTTCTGAAAATATAAAAAAAAAAATAGCAAAAAAATAATATATTTAGTCTAATTTAGTAGGTTAGTATAATAATTCTGAAAATAAAACAGCACATTAATATCTGGGCTTGGTCTGAAAAAAGGGACGAAATGACATAAAGAAATTCTTCACAAAAAATTAATTATCTTGTGAACTATTGATCAAAATTATATAATTTTTGGTACCATTAGATAATACCAAACTTATATAATTCTGAGATAATTAATTATTTGTGAAAAATTTTTATGTCAATTTCTTTCCTTTTTACAGGACCAAGCCCATTTTATCATTTGTCGTATAATTTTTATATTTTCACTGATTGAGGAATAATGTACGTCGTTTCAAATTTAAGAATAACTTGGCCAATTTGGAATCGACCTAATTATGAAATGACACAGAACAGTATTAATAGGTTGTGTTACATAAATTACAATTTTACACATGTAATTTTACATAAGTTTTTCTGTAAATAAAAGAGTTTTATAATTTATAGCCATAGCGATATGTTGCTAGTCTAATAGTCCTAAATACAGAGTTTCAAACTGTGCTTACAAATTATTAATATTAATGATTTGTAAGTAAGGGTTGAAACTCCGCATAGACTAGCGATACATCGCTACAGCGATGAATTATAAAAATATGAAAAGAAAGTCTAATTAATAAAACAATTATTGGCAATTGTCACGGAGTTTACCAGACTACCGTGTACTTCTTGATCTTTACTATCTGTCTTACTCACTTGGCTAATATATACGATCGTACCAGATTCTACCACCAATAATGTATTCACACAGATTACAGTTTATTCACTAAGAATAACTCAAAAAGATAACGGGAACAAAAAGTTCTGGTACCTCCAATTTAGGATCGATACCTTAAATATTAATTACTAATACATATTTGTGTCATTAATTATTACATACTTTGCGTATCGTTCATGCAACATTATTTTAACTTTTAATTAAAGCGTCATCCCGATCGCTGACCCGACCACCAGTCACATGAGTATCGCGTAGCACCGCGACAGCAATAAAAAAAATTATACACAGAAAATAAATTAAGAACGTCATTTTGACGTGTCTAACCGCTAGACTATTACAATGTAACCAAAGACTAACTGTCATAGGATTTATTTTGAAAATTTGACCTTTTTTAAACCGATTCGGTAATTAATAAAACAAAAAAAATCCGTATTAATTGCAAACACGAAGATTAATAAATTAATACTGAATTAATAAATTTATAATACAATGAAAAGAAAAGTAATTAGGATTCGGCATATCTAAAGTTAATTATAAAAAGTTAGCCAAATAGGAATCATGATTTGTCACTTTCAACAAAAGTTTCAGCAGATGAATATTTGATGAAACATTCCGAGAAATAGTTACATCAGGTATCATTATTTTAATTGGCACTTAGAAATCCGTGACTGATTATAAATTCCCAAGCCCAATATTCTGATTGTAAAATGTTCAGGGCGATAATATTAACGTTTAATAATATTAATAAGTAATAATAAGTAGTCAGCTTTCTTTATAACAAACCTCTATAGAGAACTCCGAATATCAAACTATAATTTTAAAACCTTATGTTAGTTTGGAATAAAATAGGATTTGTTTTAAAGAAAATATTATAATTTATACTATCTGTTATATATATCTTTTCTCATATTTATATACTTTTTTTTACAGATTAA